TCTGAGACTCTTGTTCAGACAAAATAAGAGCTGTGGTTGTCTCCATCTTCAAAGTACTATTACCTGAAAAACATTTAGATAATGACAAAATATATGCGATTATTTTCCAGTCCTCAATATTAGCCCATTTAGCTCCCTATAGGTAAATATGCCAGGAAAATTCAAATAGTGATCTCCTATAACATGTCTCACCCACCTGATTATTCAAACCAATTATCGGGAGAGATTAAAATTGATTTGAGTTTGTAGTGATCATAGCATTGCCATAAAATCTGAGGCAAGTCCAATATCATCTAAGCACACACATACAAATATATGTACACAGTACTACAAGATTTGATCAATGCTTAAAAAACAAAGATAGACAGAAAAGTTGATAACATATTCAGGGACTTTAGCTGGGTTAATGAATCCTGGCTCAGCCACTAATTGAAATGGTTTGGAGTTCGAACACACCCAAAGGCTACATGGAAGGAAGCCCAGACTGAATTCTTCCATAAAGATTGCAGCCAAGAGAATTCTGTTGGGCAGTTCGACTCTGTCTCCTGAGACAACTATGATTCCACATGGACCCAACAACACATCAGAACAAGATTGCATTTGGGTTTCAGACAGCAAATAGGAGTATTTGTGTTTGCCGCCTTTATAATGATTGGTAGTCTCAATTATTTTATATTTAACATATATTTGAAACAAAGGACGGTTATTTAAAATAAAGAAGGCTAACCAAAAGGTACTGTTGGTGATTTTCAAGACTTTGAAATTGTCTTAGGGCCCAATAACATTTTCTCTATCTAAATGCATGTGTCAATGTCCAAGCCTTTCAAGAATTAACATATGATCAAGAAACAATGATATTGGAAGGGGAAGTCTATGCTGCACTGAAGGTATTAACAAAAATCAGGCCCCAGGAATTGACAGAATACCAACTGAAATGCTTCAACTTGTTGATGGAAGCATTCACCAGTTAATGCCAAGAAATGTGCAAGGCCAACTGACTGGAATAGACCCATATTTGTGCCTATTCCAGAGAATGATCACCTAACAGAAAGCAGGATTTTTCCATGAATACCATTAATGTCACATACAATTAAAATTTTGCAGAAAATTATTCAAAAGTGATTGCAGCAGTACATCCACAAAGAGTTGCCAGAGATTTAAGATGGATTCAGGTGAGATTAAGACAAAGGGCACTTTGTTGTTAAAGCAAGATGGATCTTGGATGAAAGCAGAGAATATTAGAAAGATGTTTATCTGTGTTTTCTGGACTATGCAAAGGCATTCGACTGTGTGCTTCATAACAAACAATGGATAGCATTTGGGAAGGATCAAAATTCCAGAACACGTCTTTGTGCTCCTGTGGAACCGGTACAACCACCACCCCACCACCCGCCCCCAAAGGCCATGGTTCCAAGAGCACAAGGGAATAATGCCTGCTTTATAACCAGGAACGGGTGCAACAGGGGTGATAGTCCATGATGTGAACCAGCATTCTGAACAAATAATATGAAAGTCTGCACTATGTGAAGAAGAACCCGACATCAGGATTGCAAGAAGGCTATGAACTTGTGAGAAGCAGGTGACAGAACCTTCCTTGCCGAAAGAGATGAGGCCTTGAAGCCCTAGGTGAAGATCAAGGATTTCAGCCTTCAGTGTGGATTACAACTCGAAGTAAAGAAGTCAAAAATCCTCACAACTGTTAACCTTGTGTTAAATGGAGAAAAGACTGAAGTTTTCACTGATCTCCTCTAGCTTGGGCTCACAGCCAACACTCATGGAAGCATCAGTCAAAAAGAAGATGGGGGGGGCACTGCATTAAACAAATCTGCTGCTTAAGACCTCTTTAAAGTGAAAGAGCAAGATGTCACTGTGAGGAATCAGGTATTGTGACCTAAGGCATGGCATTTTCAATTGGCTCATAAGCATGTGAAAGATGCCTAATGAATAAGGAGGCCTGCAGAAGAATCGGTGCATTTAAATTCATGCATCGGAGAACAATAGTGGAAGTCCCATGGATTGCCAGAAGAATAAACAAATCCTGGAAAAAATACAGCCAGAATTCAAGATAGACCAGACTACCTTATGCACCTTGGGCATGTGATTGGGAGAGAACTGTCCCTGGAAAAGGAAATCGGCTTGGGAAGTAGGTCAGTGAAAAAGAGGGAGACTCACAAGGAGGTGGGTTGACAGAGTGGCCACAACAGTGGGTTCAAAGACAATAGAAATGCTACTTGTTATATTGCCCTGGACGAGGCAAGGTGACCATGTTTCCTTCTGATTTGCTTAGAACCGCTTTGTGTCCATGAGTTGCAACCAACTCAAAAGCTCCTAACAGCAGTAGCAACAATCACAATGTTTGCATGACTTTTTTTCTCTAAAGAAGAAATTAGTAAGTATTGAGCAATATGATTCTGAAATGCAATCTTTATATTTATATATTTCAAATAACAT